GTGCGTCGTGCGTCGTGCGTCGTGCGTCGTGCGTCGTGCGTCGCCCGCGCAGTACGAAATCGAAACGAACGCACTCCGACATTCGTAGCAGAATCCGCGCTACGTGAACGTGACCGTGAACGTCAAGCAAACTCGACTTCTCTCGCTAATGACAATGAATTCCAATGGTTTAAATGCACAATATCACGACAATCATATAACAGTTCTCAAGCCGTAAATCGTGCATCTTCCATATCTCTAAATCGTTACTCTACGTATAAATAGTAATACGAAAAATCGAGGCTCTCCTTGGCAAATGCAAATGACATCGATCGAGAAGCTAGATCCATCTTACATATCGTTAAGATTCTCGTTGATTTTATTATCGGTTAATCACAAATCCAGTCCCGCGCAATGTGACGCGTCCGCGATTCTTTATACTCCCTGTCAGCGTACGTCCACACCTCCCCCCCCGCCTCTCCCCTACCGACTGCACACCCCCCCCCCCAACCTCCTCCTCATCCTCCTCGTCATCATCATCATCATCATCATCATCATCACTCACTCGCTCACTCACGCCATAGAGGCGCGCGCGCGTCGCAAGACCTTTGTATTATTCGCTCGATTCCCACGCACTCGGATCGTACCGTTTATTCATCGCTTTCTCAAGCACGCTCGCTCCCTCGCTCGCCCGAGCTCAAGCATATACGGCGACTGCGATGCGCCAACACACTCATAGGCACACTTCGCATACATAAACATTGCACAGACACGTTGATGTAGAGGTGCGCGTGCATGGGTAGGCGTATACCAATGGCTTGGCGATGGTATTAAGTCTTGTGCACGGTTTTGCGGTTGCCATTGTCGTTGCCGTTCTTAGCTCTTGCCGATGCTGCTGTTGCTGTCCTCGCTGTCGCGGCTGGCAGTCCGGGCTGATCGGCCTCGGGACTGGCTCACGAGGTGGCTCTAAGCTTCTCCAGGGCCGGCACGAGCGACTCGTCGAGCGTCGGCCCGCAGCTCAAGCCGCACTCGCCATTCCATCTGGCCTTGCCGCTCGCGTGCGACTGTAACGCAAAAGACCAACGTGAAAAGACGTTGAAAGCCTGCGCGTTCTCTATGATCTCGATCTCGAGAATCCAAAGAGAGCGAGAGAGAGAGAGAGAGAGAGAGAGAGAGAGAGAGAATAATAAAACTTTGGGAAAATCACCCTTTTACAGGTGTTTAATCATAGACGATATTGATTAGTTGTCGATATATTTTTAGATCATTCAATTGTGATAAGTCAAATCCTTCTCACATTTACTCGTGAAAAAAAAAAAATATATATATATATATATCACAGATATTTATAAATTATAGTAGAAAATGGTAAATGTAGGATTAGACAATGTATTTTATTTCTAAATATATCTTATTCAAACATACGCAGTGAGTTTATTGCGATAATTTTAACATGAAAATAAAGTGGGTTGTAGGTTGTTATGTATGGCGAATCACGACATTTCGCGATAAACATTTCTCGCTGAAAACTTTTGTTCTCGTGACAAAACTCGTGAAAATTGTAAAAAATCTACCACGAGCAAGCACATAAATTAACCACGTATATAAGAATCATTATGATTTACAAAATGCCAAAGACGCTTTATTTAGATTAAAGAAATTCATCGATGAAATATCAACTTCAAGTTATTCCTAAGAAATATCAATCCTTTTAAAAATAGTTTAAGAAAGTATAAACCGGTTGTTATGGGAACAGCATTGAATAGTGGCGAATTGGTAGCTTCGAGCTAGAAAACTGGAAAATAAATTTTCCGTACGTGCGGGCGAAGCTGTTGTGTATTACGAATGAAAATTAAATTCCATCAACAGCGAAAAAAAACCACTCGGTCGACTACACAGCCGAAAAAGCAACAACATGGCCGGTGGCAGCGATAGCAAAGCCAACGACTGCGATAACGATTTAATAATAATAATCATCATCAATGAGGAAAAACTTAGGAGTTTCGGCAGTCTCGAGTCACGCCGACTTATCGGCATTCTATCTCGCGTTTATTCCTCGCCAAAGCAATTAGCCAGCAAATTAGGAGGCTCGGACGACTTACCATGGTGAGGTCGCGCTTCCAGACGGTATGACAGCGCCCATCGCACAGGGGACAGGGTCGGGTCAGCGAATAGCCGCCACACTCGCTGCAATCCAAGGACACGTGCTCCTCGCTCCACGACACACCGCAACTGCGGAATAAAAAGAAGAAAGCGATTGGATTTCGGTTGTGATAGGACTTCGTAACCGTTACCCCCCACCCCCCCCAATCATGCCGCACCCTCTTCGCTTATGTCGGTTCGTTTCACATATTTATTAAGTTGGCCGAACGTAACCGTTGCCACTGGCTTACCAACTATTAAAAGCGATTTAAAAGCTCGACACTCGGAGCCCGGTTCGCCCGTTTATGAATAATAACCTCCAACGAGGTCTACTCACGGTTCAGTTTGGGTGCATCGCGCACCCTCCCCCCTACAACCACGCAAATACCTCATCGCCAATCCAATCCAATTTACCTTTTTGTATGGTAAATAAACATTGTGAAAAATAATACACAATGTCTTGGCTTATTTAGCTCGTGCGCATGCCCAAAATTATTATTAATAATGAGACGAGATTTGTTTGAGCGTAAAGAATTCATATCGTCGCGGGCTGAATTTCAAGCTTATCGATCGACGTTAAATCGTCATTAAAGCAATCATTAAAGCAAATAAGACGGTAGCCCCCCCCCCGCCCCGCCCCGCCCCGCCCATCTTATTGGCACTTTATTAGCGATTCATCGCGGGCATTTTTTTATCTCTTGGGCAAACACATTGTGTCATTACCAGCATTAAGCCACGAACGAGCAAACAATTTATATTTTAGTTTAACCAATAACTACCAATCTCGCTTATTATTTCAGTTGCAATCCGCATTGCAATAGTTTGATAATCCGTAAAGCGCCACATTCGTGCAGCCTTAATTTATTTCCAACTCAAACACTTGATTAAGATTACCAACTAGTAGTCGCGTTAATTCGCCTTGCTCGGTCGGTCAATCGAATCAATCGGGTATGCGCGGCTCAATGAATTGGAAAGAGTCGGGAGATCCGGTCGAGTTTGGATAAACGAGCATTACGTGCGATTTGATGCAGAAGTGCGATAGGACGGTTGGCCGACGAACTGACGAACGTAATCGTCGCGACAGCGTTATTTTAATAATTATTGTTATTGTTATTATCGTTGTCATTGTTATTTGATATTGGAGGGGTGGGTAGTAGTATGGTAGTGGAAAGACGCACTTGGGAAGTGCGCGCTAAGTGCGTCGTCGGCTATGATCGTTGCACGGACGGAGCTCGGTAAAAGAGGAGGACGAGGCCGCCCCTATGGAAGGGAGCCCCCGTAAAACCTAAAATAAGGTTGGCGCCACTCACGTAAAGCAGGAGTTGAGCTGAGCCCGGAGTTCCTCGATCGTGAGGATGGTGTCCTGGTACTGGGGATGCGAGCCCAGAGATTCGTCGACGCTACCGCTGAGACTATGGCAGGATAACGAGATGTTGCTCCTGAAATATAAGAAGAGTTCGTTGAAAAGCTTTATCAAGCTCTTTAAAAGCAAAAATTCTAGGTCGATCGAGAGGTCAGCTTTTACTTTTTCTTTAGTCGTAGCATCCTCTATTCGTACTTGCGATTGTCTAATCTTTTAATATGTTGTGTAGAAGATGGAGGGAATCGTGAGTTGTTGTTAGGAAAATGAGAGGGTCCCTGTACGTCGAGACATCTCGATAACGTCACGATAAAAGGGCAAATAGAACAGCAAAACGTCGAGTACCTACGAAGCTTACGTTAGGAGCTTACAGAATCACTCATTGAATTGTCAAAAATGCATAAGACGGCCGACGAATGAGAGGTGTTGGATGCACTATGTGGAGTATAGTTTAACGATTAACGGTAGAAAAGAGATGCTCGATGACAATTATTTCGATACATTTGAAAAAAATATTATTATACGATATACTTGACCAAATATATGTCGTTATTATTTGCGGAGGACGCCATTGTATTTTTTTGTATGTAAAAGTCATTTTACGCATATTGTCGATGATAATTTCAATTTCACCTTAAGGTAGTCTAGTCGTGTTTAATAGCATTGAGTTTTGAAGGAAGTTCTTGATCGCTGGAAATGAAAAAATATTTCCTCCTGATTTGCGAATAAAGAAACAAAGAGAAACAAAAGCGATTAAAATACGTGAATACATAAATTCAAGATATTTATTATTATTATGTTTCATCGTAGTAGAAGCTTTACCGTAACTTATTGACGACGATATGATAATCCGAAGAAAATCCGTGCAAATAAACGTCGAATTTTCGCATAAAATCCACGTGGATGCCCCGTACGCAATATATTCTATATGCTTTATCGATTAATGCATAACACGATTACGATTAACTAGATATAAATCAGGAATAAATAAACGAATGTTAAGGCATGCGTGGACGTGTGGAAAAATCAAATAATATTGCTGCTAATGCGAACGACGTGAGCATTTTAGTTGGACTAACGTCAGAATTGAATTATCATTCGAGTTAATCATTTCTTTGCCATTAGAATTGCGAATTAATTAGATATACTTAGACGCACATCACTTACAAACGACTGCATTGTATTTGCCGTAAAATTCAGGCAAATTTTGCCAGTCATTGGAATCAATTCCATTTAAACAAAACCGCAGCTAAATATAAATTCGAGCTTTCGACTGACTGACGACTGACTATTGCTTGAAATTTTCATACATAAACATTCATGTATTCCTTACGTCTTTTATACAGTATAATTGATTATCTCTCATCGATAAAATTTAATCTTCATATTTTACCGTGAGCACATTAAAGTATCGCCATTGTGCTTATAAAGCTAATCATTACGCGACGCAGAAAAAAACTCTTTGCAAACATAATAAATCATACATAGATTTTTAACGAGTGATCGTGATATTTACACGAAGAAAGTTCGTTTTTTGTCACTTATTTCTATTATCGTTATCGTTATTATATTTCTTTTTTTTTTTTTTTTTTTTTTTTTTTTTTTTTTTTTTTTTTTTTTTTTTTTTTTTTTTTTTTTTTTTGTTATTCTATGCACACATGGGTTCGTGCGATCAAACTTAGTGATACTACTAAATATTATTACACACACACACACACACACACACACTCTCTCTCTCTCTCTCTCTCTCTCTCTCTCTCTCTCTCTCTCGCTTTCCGATAATATTTTCAAATTCATCGATGCTCGATAAATAATGTGTGTATATAAATGCGCCGTAAAGACAAGTTTTCCTCAATTTTATAATTAGCGTGCATCAAAAGATCACAAAGCAATAGTTAGAAGATAAAAAATTGCAATTCATACGGGTATGTAAATGTAAATAGCTTTAAATATTGAGCATAGGGCACGGATAGTAGGGGGCATTGAATCTGGAAAATATGGCGCTTGGAAATACAACTACTAATCGCCGCCATGTGCGTGCGTACGAGGCATTTGCACGCCGCGATGGCAATTCGTATGCGCGATCCCATCACACCCACCGATTACTTGGAATTACCCTTGGCGATGGGAGCCTGCCTAGAGAGAGAGAGAGAGAGAGAGAGAGAGAGAGAGAGAGAGAGAGAGAAAATCATGCATTGCGTGAAATCAGCAAAAGCATGGGGGGCGGTGAGGTGAGGTGAGGTGGGGGGAGGGGAGGGGAGGTGAGGGCTTTCGAATCTCATCGAATTCGTTAAATTAAAGGTAAATTTTGTGGAGTAGTTACATGTTGCTGTTGCTTTAAGTGAGAATGTAGAGAAGCAGCTCGGAGAAAGCCTTCAATCGTTTGTAATTTATGGTTTGTACGATAAAGTTGCCATTCTCGGCATAAAAACAAAACAAAAAAAAAAAAAAAAAAAAAAAAAAAAAAAAAAAAAATCAATGTAAATATAAGTATGTCGGAAAGACGAGAGCGATTAGCCTTACTATTAAAATGAATTTTAACGGAAGTTCAGGGCATAGTCCTCGTATAAGCCGACGATATGGTGGCGTAGGCCGTTGCAAATTTTGCAGAATTTGCCATGAATCGCTAAGAGTCGCCAAGGCTGCTGCTCTCTCATTGAAAAAGCCAAGCGATTTCTCGGATCGATTAAACGAAAAGCAACGAGACGACGCGCACCAGAGTCGCTGCATTACCAAAGATTGCACCACAGACGATTCAATGTTTCCGCTGCTTTCGAACCTGGGTGTCGTGTAACATTACGCGCACGTGGAACTTACATAATCTTACGTTTGCCTCCAAGCTCGCCATTAGAATTTTCAGCCACAATCTAATTAACGGCAGAGGTATGATAATCTATCACGAATAGTGGCATTCGAGCTCGGTCGCTCGATCCTTTGCTTCTTTACTTTAAAAGCGAGCCAGCCATGCACGGACCAACGAACGATCTCTCGACCAACCTAATAAAAGCCATAAAATTCGAAGAAAAAAAAAGAGAAAAAAAAAAAGTAAATGAAAAACATTATTAAAATAATTATTATTATTCAAATGACGAGCCAGTCGAAAGTTCGACTCGGCGTTTTTTCAATACAAATAATAGCTCGCGATATTGAAACTTGGTCGTATGTCAGGCACAAAAATATCACTTTACGTAATGCTACTCCGCGAGGAATTACGAGCACTCGGGTACTCCGATGATCGTTGTTGGTTCGAAAGAGACAAGTTACGCGCGAAGATAGCGCAGAATCAAAATAACCGCAAGCCAGACACGCGACTCCAGCCTAAATAAATCATAGCGGCAAAAATACAATGCAACCCTCGTGCAGTCCTGCCAATGCGAGCTTAACAATATCTCCATTCTCATTACGGCCGATTGATCAAAATAGCAAAGCCACCGCCTCGAGAATGCAACGTCTTCTCCGGTCCAGCTGGTCAGCGTTACGAATGAGTTTGCGCCTCGAGTCCGAGAGAATTAAGCCTACGGTTACGCACCCCCCCCCTTCCTCTCTCCCCGTCGAGCCACGAAAGCGAGATCGAGAGCTAAGAAGAGAGAGAGAGAGAGAGAGAGAGAGAGAGAGAGAGAGACGAGGTCCAAGAGCGTAGCCGATAGAGAGGAAGGATCAACCGGCGGTGGTATTGCTGTTAAGACGACGTCCCGTCGTGTCAGGAGGGTACGCAATGAGATTGGAAGGGATTTGAGACGGGCCCATTCTAATCCCGGGATCGCGACACACCGACGCTAAAACGGTTCGACGCGTCGCCGCCCTCCTCCGTAACTAAGTTGCGAGAGAGCGAGCGACGGTACGAGGGAAGGATGTATTGGTGAGTGCACACGAGTGGAATGGGAAGATAAGGAACGTACGTGGCATTCCGGGCACTCAGCTGTTGCGAAGCCGCGGATGAATCACAGTGCCACGCACGCGGCGCAATAAGAATTTGCAATAACAGCCGATGTCAAGACGTTGCGTGCGACATTGTTCGCGCCTTTGTCAGGATGAACTTTGATTAATTTGAGAACGATAGCCGACGAATAAACTCGACGGCAGCTTAAATGGCAAACAATGAAAGGCGGAGGGAAGAACGTGTGTAGTACATACGTATCATCACGTACGTTGGAGTGAAGTTTCTGTGATTAAGAGGATACGAAGGATTAGCGAGTAAGCCGGTGAAACTGGACATACTTGATCATTTGAATACTGACGAGTGATTCTCAATATTTTTTACATTACGTTAGCAATCTCATAATCTCAATATTTTCATCGATACTCTCGCCAAATAATCTTTACTTGCGCACCAGGAATTCAACGTTCGCATTAGAAATAGAGAGAATTTCTTAACCGTTTCAATGAAAATTCATTTCAATCACCGTTGGAATTTTCAGACAATTAGCACAATTTACTTGACGTTGGCAATAAACTTTAGTGGAAGTAAATATTGGCTTGGCTTTCCAATGCGACATTAGCAGCATATATTTTGTTTATGCTCGTACATTGTTTATGAATAGAACGTATTACTCGTTAATGTAAGTAACATCATCTAAATGATCGATCAATTATGAAAACATACACCAATAAGAATATATGGGCGTGTGCGTGTGTGTTGTGTCTCTAATGCGCACACATATAAGCTATAACGCGATATTATTAAAAAATTATATTAAATGTTATAAGATTTTTCTAGCCAAGTAAATAGCTTTAAATTAAAATTTTCTTTAACCATTCGTCGCCTTTCACAATTTTCAAAAATTTTATTTTCAAGCTAACAACATTTTTTTTTTTTTGTCATTTGTTTTGTCACAAATAAATTTTACCGGATATATAATACAATTTAGAAGAAGAAAAAACTATAGATTTACAAAAATGTAGTTTTATTTTGCCGTGAAAAGATTTTACGCTAACGGAATTTTCTCTTATACTTTCATTAACCACTCTTCACAACGTCAATTATGACAAAATCATAATTTCTATTATAAATAATGTCTATACCCCGGATGAACTTCTTATCTTTGAGCTTTGAAGCATGTAAGAATCAATATGAAAATGTTGTATGTTATAATTTAAATAATTTATGCTCATTGGAGGAAGAAAAAAAAAACTACCGCCACTTTATCTATAATAATCCGTAATATTAACAGTTAAAATCTAATTTGTATAATAATGCAAAGTATCTTGAAGGGATAGTACGTTTTCGAAATTACACATCTTTTTCTCTACTTTGAAAAGGAGAAAACATGCATGCATATAAATGAACTTGTGTCTACATAAATATATATATATATATATATATATATATATATATATATATATATATATATATATATATATATATATATATATATTTATGTCATTTATTGTTTGGTGTTTATTTAGTCAATGAATTTCATTCTAAGAACAATTATTAAAAAATACTAAGAAAAACAATTACATTAAAGATAATAAAAAGAATTTTTTAACGTAAAGTATTCCCGAAGCGAGTGAATTTAAATAAAATTTGCTCGTACTTGATTCGTTCGAATTCGATAGATTTTTTTTTTTTTTTTGTACAAAGTACTACTTGCCATCATTATCGTTATGATTATTATTATTATTATTATTATTACTATTATTATTAAAAATACAATAAGTAAGACTCGCTGAAAACAAAAGTGTTGCATCGTATCGTTACGTGCAACTTTTTCCCTTCCTCGACCGAACAACATCTTTGGCAAAACACTTTCTTTACGTAATCGTAACGTTAATGTTATTTATCATCATACGGTTATTATTTTTCCGTTATTTTGTCAATAAATGTAGAGAACGACGATAGGCTCTTTCTGAGCGTCACAGTAATAACATAAGCCGTTCCTTGCCTTCTTTAAAGCGAAATAATATATATACATATGTACATAAGAATAAGAGAAAAATAAGTAAATAACAGCGCGAACACAACAAGGGAAACAATTAGTGTGGACTTACCCATGACGTGAGAGATTTTCGGTAGTGCTTTGCACGGACGTGACAGACATGTTGCTTTCGTTGCTTTCGTGCGTGTCCGAGACTGAAACATTGAGAAGAGATTTCAGAATTAACGACTGTACAGTCAGTTCATGTTAGGCAATTAATCTAAATCCTAAACTACTACTACTACTACTACTACTACTACTACTACTACCCTCCCTCGGCTTAATTTTCTTTATAAATTGATAATAATCTTGGTGACCGATTCCCCGACCGACCCACATGTACATGCAACCCAACACGTTTGACAAGGAAGCAGGGCCGAGGGACCGGAGATTATGTGGGCCGCATAATTGGACCACTCGACGGATTTCACATAGGAAAACCTATAAATCCTCGAGTGTATGGTGTACGCTTAGCGAAGAGAGGTGTGGTGGAATGAAGAGAAAGCAAAGTAAAACTGTCATTGCGACGCAATAGTTTGGCAATATCGCAGTGCCGCAGTGCAGATTAGCGGCCGAGGGAAAGTCAAGCCGGACGTAGCAAGTTTCCAACCTATCGATAGTTGCCCCTATAATTTAACTATAGTTAATTTAACGATATTTTCAACGATCGCTTCTTTCTTTTTAATTAACGCTGGATCGGCGATGCGCTCGTCGTAAAAGTTTTAAAGCCGCAAATAAATGTTGTGGCCGCGTGGAAACCAGTCGACGCCAAGACTATTGGTTTCGGCGCACTCTGTACTCTGGCATCACTCGATTCCTTGAAAAACAAAAACGAAAAACAAAAATATACCTTAAAAGAAAGAATGCGGTGAAATTTGGTGTTATCGAGAGTATCGGATGTTTAATACGAAATTTCGAATTTTCTCCCCGTTTCTCAAAAGACTCGTCCCGCCATCGCCGCCGCCGCCGCCGCCGCCGCCACCTCCACCACCACCACAACCACCACCACCACCACACCACCACCACACCACCACCACACCACCACCACACCACCACCACACCACCACCACACCACCATCACACCACCGCCCTACTCGCAATACAACAATAAAAGAAAGCAAATTAGAAATTCGGTGGTGATGATGATGGATGGAGAATCGCTGGCGGAAATATGCATTAAGCTTGACAATCAATTGTTACGAGGCTTCTTACGTAAGCCTCCAAAGCGCATCGGAAATCGTGATTCCGCTCAATCCGCGTAATCAGCGCACGAATAAAGACAATTGTAAAATGCACTTTGTTAAGTACAGCCGGGGGGGGGGGGGGGGGTGGAGGGCACCTTCAGCGGTCGTGCTTACTACAGCCTCGATGTTTTCGCGGATACGTCGGCTTGCTGACCCTGCTTACGAGTCGTGACGAAAGGAAAATAATCCACATCCGTCTCGTGAGGATAGGGAAGGATCGATATGTAGGTGAATCTCGCGCGTGCAAGTGTCGTCCCCGCGTCAAATAACAAGGGCGCGTCGTTTCGTGCTCATCGAGCCTGGAGCGAGGGCGGCGATCGAAGACGCGAGATCGCTCGCACTGATCGGAGTCTCTGTCGGAGTGTCGCGACAAATGGTTGTTGTTGCTGTTGTTGTTGTTGTTGTTGTTGTTGTTAGGGGGGGGGGGGCGGGGTGGTCGTTATTCGAGGTACCGTCGTTGCGGACTTGGACGTTGACGAGGCAAGTGTCGTCGATGGGGAGACATGGGTGTAAGTAAACGCTACGGCTGTAAAACTTTCGAAAAGTGGGGAGCTTTGGTGATTTGCCAAGCGACGGCGACGGCGCTCGTGTCGCGGCGCGAAACTCCTCGATTTCTCAATGACGCGCGGTCGAGAAACGCCACTGCCACGACGTTGGCGCCTCGTGAAACTCCCTTCGCTCGGGTTTTCCGTTTCATTTCATCTTGGAGGAGCCGTCACACGAGCAGCTCTCGCGTAACTTTCTCCACCAACGCCGACAAAACAAAAACAAAAAACAAAATGAGAAAGAGAGTTTCTCCACGAAGATCCTCCCGTCCTTCTGACATCGCGCGGCTGCTGCAATTGTGTTGCTGCAATGGACCTTCTCGTGTCGCCCACTAGGCTTAAAGCCTTAGGCCACTTTCTGCTTGAGAATTCCTCGCAAGTGGGGGTAAACGACTTTGTGCGTGACGGAGTTAATTTTGCTGCCAATGCGAATGTAAGCCAATCGTCGTCGTTCTTGTTGAAACGCGTGTCCGAGGAATCTCGTGAATATTTCCTTATTTTAAACGGATAATCCATTTGCGTAGTTACGTTTATTTCATCTAATCGTGCCTCACTCGTGCATCCATAACGTACTACTCTACATCTGCCTGTATCGTCTTCTTCATCAGGCTTCGGGTATTGGTCAACGAGTATGTAGAAATTTTTCGACTCGGAAATACTTAAATCTATCATTTTATTTCTCATAAAAATATGACAAACCACGAATATAACTATAAAAATGCTTTATTTTATTTATTTTTTTTTTTTTTTTTTTTTTTTTTTTTTTTTTGTTATTTCACTTTTTTTTCATTTTTTACTTTATTTTTTTATTATTTTACAAGCATATATCTTTATATTATATTAAGATATACAGAAATTTTCGTAATACTCTAACCTCAATTCTTTATAAAACCTTTGACGAACGTATGAACGCTTATTTATTTTCGATCATTATTTATTTATTTTTGTGTGTGTGTGTGTGCGTGTGCGTGTGCGTGTGCGTGTCCGTTTCTCTATAAGCTTAACGTCTACATCAACATTATTCGGCGCGACGAGAGAAAAAAGACGAAACGTTACAAAATAAAGAAGAAAACAAAATATTAATAAAAGCTATGCGCAGTTAGCGATGAGAAGCGGAGCTGTCAAAATTGACAAGAGTAAAGAAATGAATATTATTTCACTTAGAAATGGGACAGGGATACTAGAGACACCAGCATTTTTCCAAGTTCCTCGACCCTGAGCCCGAATGAGCTTTTAGATCCCGCCACGACGGTCTACAACTATTTATAGAGGCGATAGAGGCAAACGCGAGGCATGTGTTGGTGCATCTACGTGTTTCATCGCAAAGTGCGTTGTTGTTGTTTTGCAATGGTTGGAATGCCATCATCCGCTCTCACCTTTTCACTGTTTAACGATCGATCCATCAACCGCTTATCGAAATACGCTCGATAGTAATAATACAAATCAAACCCTGTCTCTCTCTCTGGCTCTTTTGATCGTAGAAGCTTATGCTCCCATACTTGCTTTTCACGACTGCGATGATTCGATTACTTTCATTCAAGATGCGTTAAATGTTTCTTTCGCGAAAGTGACGACATCGGGCCGAAGAACGCAAATTCATTAGGAATGCGCCACTTGCGTCGATATGCAAAGTGATTTCTTTCCCATACGCATGCAACTGTGTGCAGGATGAGAACTTTATGTAAAGTTTTCCCACAGATGATTAATGATAAACCAAAAAAAAAAAAAAAAAAAAAAAAAAAAAAAAAAAAAAAAAAAGTATAAATGAATAATATAATGTTAAAAGAAAAATTAATAGAAAGGTCACACTGTGATTTTTTATTTTGATAAAACCAAAAAAAAAAAAAAAAAAAAAAAAAAAAAAAAAATAATTCTCTTTGTATAAATAGTCTATAAATATTGTTTTAAATAATACAATCGACAGATCCAAGTAGTGACATAAAGAGAGACAGAGAAATCCTCTTAACTAAACGATCAACTAAAGTATTTGATTGATAGTGCCGGAGAATGGTTATAGAATTTTATACGTATCATGTTTTTCAAATACCAAGCCACGAAATAATAATGGTAAGCCTTGGTGAAATAGTTATAAGAAAGAAAGGCCATAAATCTATAAAGGCAAGAGGACTATCCAAGATGAAAATCCAATAGAACTGTTGTGTCTGGTTTGCAGCGAGGGCCCCGTAAAGTTGATGAAGTAACAAAAAAGGTGGTCACGATGGCTAACTAACTTTAAAGAAAGAGGGGCTACGGCGAGAAGAAAGAAAGCACCAGCGACTTTGTCAATGTTACAAATTACTTACGAAATGTGTGGCAATTTATTTCTCCTCTTCTTTCTCAAACATTCACAAAAGTTGACATAATTCCCAAGCGGTGTTGATTTTATTATATTAACAAACAAAATTGCCGTAGAAATTAAAAAACAAATGGGCCTTAATGACATTTCACAAGGTGACGGAGAAAATCGAGAGAATTTTTCATGACATCGAGATAGCGAGTGAGTGGTGCGAGTTCGCGAACGGTTGGTGAGGGGTTACGAGGGGTTACGAGGGGTTACGAGGGGTTACGAGGGGTTACGAGGGGACGGGGACGGTGATGGAGTAATAACGGCACCTATAGCAAAACGTTACCGAGACTGAAGAGAATGTCAAGGATTTCTTCTCTGCTGTTGCACGCACTGGACGCATGAAGAAAATCGACTGCCATCTGTTAAAATGTCGTCGAACAACGTGTAATTTTATAAAGCGCCGTTCACGAATAAGGAAAATTTTTTTTTTTTTTTTTTTTTTTTTTTTTTTTTAATACATTTTTAAAAGGAACTTCCGCTCCCTTCTTACTTATGATTATGATTCTTGGTAATTTGTCATTTCATCGGTAGTAATAATCTTCTACCATGTGAATTAGTCTTTTTTGTTTTTGCCCCCCCCCCGCCGCCACCTCGACACCACCTCCTCCTCCTCCTCCTCCTCCACCCCAGCCCCACCCAGCCGAAAGTCACGGTCTGCCGAAACAAAACAATTTAAAATTTTTAACGACGTGTAAATGTTGATTTTAAATCATAATAATTTGTAAACACATTATCTTTTTCTTCAATTGCTAGAAATTATATTCTTCGTCAAATAGTAGCGACTCGGTGAATTGACAGTCCCGATGATTATAAAATTGTTGTGCTATTTTGTTTTGTATGTTATATGCTTTTACAAAGAATTCTTAGGCGTATGTCTAAAGCATTTAAAGAGAAACATTTTTTTTTTTGTTTACATCTATAGCAAGCTCAACATCAGATTAAAATAAAAGTAAATAAATAAACCGATATACACGTTTGAAATATGCCTACTTTTAA